GCGGTGCTGCTCGCCGATGGTGCAGATCGCCCTGAAGTCGTGCCGTAGTCGACTGGATGCCGACCACCAGGCGTGGCAGTTCTTCATGTCGACCTACCAGGCGACCGACGACCTGGACATCAGCCAGCTGGAGGAGCACCTGACGCACCTGAGGATGGGCGAGCTGGAGACGACGACCGACTGCTGCAACCGAGCTCGGCGGCTCCTTGCCAACATGCGGATGGCCGGCGTCGACTACTTGACGGCGTCGTACGTCACGCACGTCGTCAAGGGGCTTCCGAGCGGCTACAACCTGATGCGCCGCTTGATGGTGATGCCAGGCATGCGGGATTCGCTCAATGAGGACACCCTGACCTCGCACATCTCCACGGAGCTCCTGCCGCAGGCAAACTACGTCGCCCCGACGAAGCAAGGAAGTCGACCGGGTCAGCGTGGCAAGCTTGGCAACGGTGGTAGCGGAGGTGGGAGGCCGGCGAAGGACGACCGGACGAAGTCGGCCAAGGATGGCGGCCGTGGAGGAGGAGGTCGGCGGCGGGATTGCTGGTTGTGCGGCGACCCCGACCACCTCTCCTTCGAGTGTCCCGACTGCGAGGACTCCGACGACGACGACATCAAGGGAGGCCGCGGGAGGTTGGCTGGTCGTCGCCCTCGTCGGGAGAGCAAGTCGCGCAAGGAGAAGCAGTCGACCAAGTCGACAACGTCGGCAAAAGACGCCGACTCCTCCTGTGGCGGCAAGGGGCGAGGCGACGGGGAGGCGTCGTGCTCGCTGGTTGGCGTCGTGGAGCCGACCGTCTCGCTGGCGCCGGAGGCCGGCGAGGACTTCAAGGCGGTGGCGGCCGCCGTACAGGCTAACCCGGCGGTGGTTCTGCTCGACAGCGGCTGCTCGCACCACCTAATGGGGACGAAGGAGGCCCTCGTCGACTTGGGACCGAGCGGCGACGTCAAGCACGTGCGCGGCTTCAATGGGGCGCTGCAGGACGTCCAGGGCCGGGGCACTGTCGCCTTGCAAGGGGAGGCCGGGAAGCAGGTGCTCATCCCCGACGTGCTCTACGTCCCGGGCGTGCAGGCGAACCTGCTGTCGGCCGGCCAGCTGAAGGACAGGGACGTCCGACAGCAGGACGATGGCGACGAGATGCTGCTCGTCTCGGCGGCGGGGGGTGTGCTTGGTCGGGCGAAGTATACCGGCCGGGTCCTCTGCACCAGCCTTCGTCCGTGCACGGCGACGTCGACTATGGCCACGAAGGAGACGGTGGCCCTACGGACCATGGCTACGGCGACGAAGTCGACGCCGGCCAGGTGGCACGTGAGGCTTGCACACGTCGGCGTCGACACCATCACGAGCTCGGCGAAGCACGAAGTCGCCACCAGCCTGGACATCAAGCCGTCAGCCGGCACCGACTCTTCATGTGTCTCGTGCGTCGGCGGGAAGCTGGCGCGGCACACCTTTTCTCACAAAGGCTCGGACGCCGACGACGCTCTGGCCGTCGTGCACATCGGCCTGTGCGGGCCGTTACGGGTGGCCGCCAAGGATGGCAGCCTGTACTTCTTGCTGCTGAAGGACCGCAAGACCCGCTACGTGTGGGTGAGGCCGGTCGCCAAGAAGTCCGACGTGCTGCGGGAGTTCGAGAAGTGGCTGCTGGTGGCTGAGTGGCAGACGAAGAAGTCGTTGCTGATGCTGCGCTCTAACCGCGGGGGGGAGTTCCTCCGGAAGCAGTTCACCGACTTCGTGGACAGCAAGGGCATCATCCACGACTTAACCTGCCCATACACCCCGCAGCATAACGGCATGGCGGAGCGAGAGATGAGGTCGGTGGTTGAGTCGGTGCGGACGATGCTGCTACACATGGGCGTGCAGCACCACTGGTGGCACCTCGCCCTGCGGCAGGCCGTCTGGGTGCGCAACTGCTTGGAGAGGTCGACGCTGCCGCCGAGGACGACGCCGTACCAGCTGCTGACCGACAAGAAACCCGACTTGACGCTGGCGCGTGTGTGGGGCTGCATGACGCAGGTCCCTGGGCAACAGCGTGTTATAGTCACAATAGGCTTGAATGTGCTAAAAACGTAAGATAGAGTGCACAGTCGGATTTCTGCACAGCGGCTTCACACGTTGATAGAGTTCTGTTTACAGCTCCAAATGACTTGCTAAAAAATGGATCTGGAGCGTCTTAATGTTGCCTACAATAGGCAATTTACATCGCACGATTTCATCAAGTATTGACGACGCAACGTTGGTTTAAACGAATGGCATCCATTATAGTCTTAGAACACAAATTAGGAAGACTTACGAGTTGGGAATGCCTCCCAGCCTCTACAAACCCCAAGAGCCGAGGTACAGTGATGTGGAATAGTGCCAAGCTGTCCCCAACCATGAAGGGTCTCGAAACTACCCTCCACAAGGGCCTAGACTAAGAGAAATGTTACACGCACAACGACAACAAGCCGAGTGCAAACCATGGGGTTGCACCAACACAGCGCGGCGGAAAGTTGGCGCCGAAGGCCAGGTGGGGCCTTCATCTCGGCATGTCGGAAGAGAGCAAGGGTGGGGAGGGCCTTGACCTCATCGACAACAAGGTGGTCTCCACGTCGGACGTGGTGTTTTACGGGACCATGTCCCTGGAGGTGTGGAAGTCGGAGCACGGGCCGGCGTCGGGGCGAACGCAGGTCAACCCTGTCAACGAGAGAACGGAAGTATGAATGACTAGAACGAAGCAGTACAAGGAAACATATAGCAAACCCTAAATGGGGTTATACCATCTACTACATAACTCACTCTAACACCTAGACTAAACTAACAAAAAATAGCAGGAATATTTTGACACACCCCCATAGTCTAGGTGACGGCAGTCCTGTGGAAAGCAACAGATATCTCAAGGTGGATCACGAATTCACCACACAGTCTGAAAGCAAGGGTCACAGAACCAGACACCAAGAACAACGGTCACAAGACCAGTTCACAAGAACAAAGCAACTCTCACGGGTGGATCTCAAGATCACCACACAGTCCGTGAACAAGCAAGGGGCCACAAGGCCAGTCCACATGCAAGTATATAGCAGATATAGGAGATGCAAGAGTACAAGACAAGCGAGACAAGCATCTCTACATAAGCAAGGGGCCACAAGGCCAGTCCACAAGCAGTGATATAGCAAAGATAGTGAGACGCAAGAGTACAAGACAAAGCATCTCTACGCAAGAAAGTGAGGGCCTGTAGACACAAGGCCTAGCTGGGTGCCGAAACGCTAGTGGTCACAGGGCGGCAATGCCTTGGTGAAGATATCTGCAGTGTTGGCCTCAGAGACCACACGTCTCATGAGTGCCTGGCCACGCTGCCACAACTCGTGCAGAAGGAAGTAACGCAGCTGGATGTGCTTCGCCTTCCCAACCGGTCGGGGCTCCTCGCACAACAGGATAGCAGACCTGTTGTCGGCGAACAAGACTGGGGGAGAGCGAGGCCGCTCGCCAAGGTCGGTGAGGAAGAAAGACAGCCAGCAAAGCTCCTGGGCGGCCATGGCCGCAGCGTACACCTCTGCCTCACAGCTGGAACTGAAGACGGACGATGTCCGAGTCGCCCTCCACGAAACAGCTCCGGTCCCAAGGCTGAAGCAGTAACCCTGTGTAGAACGCAGCGACTCAGCGTCGTTGGCCCAGGATGAGTCTGAGAAACCTGTGAGTGTAACTGGCTGCTTCCCTCCAAGGACAAGTCCCATGCCTGATGTACTCGCCACATACTTCGCCACCCTCTTAGCTGCATACCAGTGGGAAGGTCGGTGTCTCCCAGGCGCAACAAAGGGCACAAGGACACTAAGAGGGTAAGCTAGGTCTAGGCGAGTACAGGTCATCAAGTACATGAGACAACCCACCAACTCAGGATATGGACCCGCTGGACTCAAATGGCTCGTCCGAAGGTGGAGCCGTGAGCCCATGATCCACAACAAGAGGGGTGTGTACCTTGGAGAACGGGAAGCGAAACCGCGTGAGGATCTGCTCGACCATATGCGACTGCGTCAGCGTAATGGTGCGAGCTGCCCTGTCCGTGGTGATCTGCAGGCAAGGTAGCGCTACAGCTCACCAAGGTCAGTGCAAGTGTGTCTCCTCTGCAGTTCCTCCTTCACGGAGGCCAGTGCGCATCGGTCTGGAGTGGCGAAGACCAGCTCGTCAACGTAGACCAGAACAAAGAACGGGGTCGAGCCGTGGCGGACAAACAACGACGGGTCGGTAGACGACGTAAAGAATTCAAGCGCTGCAAGAGTCGTACGTAGTGTATCATGCCACTTGCGGGGAGCCTGGCGCAGGCCGTAGACCGGTCGACGCAGCTGCCACTGGGTCTCATGAGGGAAAGAGCTAGTGAAGCCAGGCGGACGACGCAGCCAGTTCTGCTCGTGTAGGCTCCCCTGAAGGAACGCGGTGGAGAAGTCCAAGGAGTGTAACTTGTAGTCGCGCTGAGCTGCGATGTGCAGCAACACCCGAACAGTGGTCATCTTTGGGGTGGGAGCGAAGGTCTGGAAGAAGTCCACCCTCTCGCGCTGACTAAAGCCTCTTGCCACATATCGCGCCTTGAACACTGGTGGTGATCCAGGCGGCCGCTTCACCTTGAAGAGCCACATGCCACTGACGACGTTCGTCCCAGGTGGTGGGACGGCGCCGACGTAGGTGCCTGTGGACCTATAAGATGCCATCTCTGCCTCCTCAGCTGCTATCCAGTACGAAGCCCAGGGTCGCGAGACCGCCTCGGCGTGAGTGCGAGGGATCGGGATGTCAAGGGCGTCTGGATCCCCCTCAGGGGCAAGCAGCATGGCGCAGAGATGAGGAACAGCGGCCGCCAAGAAAACCAAGCTCAAACTGCTGGTCCTCCAGGACGTCCAAGGGAAAGACACGATCCCCCCCAGTGCACGGAGAACGAGCAGTGCCGCTCACCAGGTGGGCGGCGTAGTCAAGGCGGTGGGACGAGGCAAAGGCACCGACCGTAGCAAGAGGAGCCGAGACAGACGACAGAGCACCAGCGCTAGCCGCCAGCACCAGGCACCAGCACCAGCGCCAGCCGCCAGCACCAGGCACCAGCCCCAGCCGCCAGCACCAGGCACCAGCGCCAGCCGCCAGCACCAGGCACCAGCACCAGCGCCAGCCGCCAGCACCAGGCACCAGCTCCAGCGCCAGCCGCCAGCACCAGGCACCAGCACCAGCTCCAGCCGCCAGCACCAGGCACCAGCACCAGCGCCAGCCGCCAGCACCAGGCACCAGCACCAGCGCCAGCCGCCAGCACCAGGCACCAGCCCCAGCCGCCAGCACCAGGCACCAGCACCAGCGCCAGCCACCAGCACCAAGCACCAGCGCCAGCGCCAGCCACCAGCACCAGACACCAGCACCAGCGCCAGCCGCCAGCACCAGGCACCAACACCAGGCACCAGCACCAGCGCCAGCCGCCAGCAGCAGGCACCTGTGACCAGCAGCCCCACCTGTGACCAGCAGCCCCACCCGTGACCAGCAGCCCCACCCGTGACTAGCAGCCTGTGACCAGCAGCCCCACCTGTGACCAGCAGCCCCACCTGTGACCAGCAGCCCCACCTGTGACCAGCAGCCCCACCTGTGACCAGTAGCCCCACCTTTGACCAGCAGCCCCACCTGTGACCAGCAGCCCCACCTGTGACCAGCAGCCCCACCTGTGAAGAACTGGACAGGGACCATCGTGGGTGGGGAGGGGTCTGGAGGAAGAAAAGGAGGGAGGGAGTGCGGTTCCAGGGGGCGGTTGAAATGGGGGGTGAGGTTACAGGGGGTTGGTTGATTGGGGGTGGGGATGTGGGGGTTAGTAAGAGGGGACGCTGCGGCCACCCCCCCACCTCCACTCCTCATCCCCCACTCAACCCCCCCTGTGTAAAAGGGGGTTAGTAAGAGGGGACGCCGCGGCCACCCCCCCACCTCCTCTCCTCATCCCTCACTCACCTCCTCCTTTGTTCTTATCTCCTCTCCTCCCCTGTCTCTCTCTCGCCTCCTCCTCCTCACTTACCTCTCTACCGTCTTTCACAACGACTGCAATACCCCTTCAGGGGGTGTGACTTACTCTAGCTATGTGCTGCAGGCAGTTAAGGGGGTGTGTCGCGATATATATTTATATATGTTTATACCTGCCTGTAGCTTTAGCTCTAGTGTAGTTATGTTTCCTTGTTGGTGGTGCACCTTTGCTAGTTTGCTATATGTACCTTGTGTGCTATAGTGAACAACACACATTCTCACTTTCTCTTGGCCACGATTCTCTCGACACCCGCTTGGCCTAGGCTTCTAAGCCTAGGCCCTAAACCCGGTTCCTAGTTAACTTAGGATTGTGACATATGCTGCTGCTGGGTCTGCTGGGGGCAGCCTATGCTGCTGCTGGTTCTGCTGGGGGCAGCCTATGCTGCTGCTGGTTCTGCTGGGGGCAGCCTAAGCTGCTGCTGGTGCGCTGGCGGCAGCCTATGCTGCTGCTGGTTCTGCTGGGGGGCAGGCTATGCTGCTGCTGGTTCTGCTGGGGGCAGCCTATGCTGCTGCTGGTTCTGCTGGGGGCAGCCTATGCTGCTGCTAGTTCTGCTGGGGGCAGCCTTTGCTGCTGCTGGTTCTGCTGGGGGCAGCCTAGGCTGCTGCTAGTGCGCTGGCGGCAGTGTAAGATGCTGCTGGTGCTCTGGTGGCAGTCTAAGCTACTGCTAGTGCGCTGGCGCCAGTGTAAGCTGCTTGCTGGTGCTGCTGGCGGCAGTCTAAGATGCTTGCTAGTGCTGCTGGCGGCGGTGTATGCTGCTGCTAGTGCTTCTCGCGGGTGACCTAGGCAGGTGAGCAGTCTAAATGGCAGCGGGTTTCAGGTGGGGGCGGCGGGTTACAGGTCCTGGCGCAGTGGGGAACGGGTCGGGCGGCGGGTTAGGCAGTGGGCGACGAGTTTCAGGTGGTGAACGGCGGTTACAGGTCCTGGGGCGGTGAGGAACGGGTGGGGCGGCGGGTAAGGTAGTGGGCGACGGGTTTCAGGTGGTGAACGGCGGGTTACAGGTCCTGGGGCGGTGAAAAACGGGTGGGGCGGCGGGTAAGGCAGTGGTCGACGGGTTTTCAGGTGAGTTGCACGTGCGCGCGGTTGTGGCTGTGCGTGCGCGCAGTTGCGCGTGCGGCTAAGGCTGCGCGCGGTGCGTCTGCTGCTCGCTAGTGGGCTGGCGGGCAAAACGCGCGGTGCAGAAACGAGTGGGGCGCGGGGCAAAAAACGGGTGGGTCGTGGGGCGATTTGGGGGGGGGGGGGGGTGCGGGGGCCTTCCTCGGTCGCGACGTGGGGGACCGGCGGGGGTCCTTCTAGCTCACGATTCGGGGGAGGCGCGGGGGCCTTCTAGCTCGCGATTCTGGGGGACCCGCAGGGGCCTTCCTAGGTCACGGCGTGGGGGACCCGCGGGGGTCCTTCTAGCTCGCTATTCGGGGGGGCCGCGGGGGCCTTCCTAGGTCATGACGTGGGGGACCCGCGGGGGTCCTTCTAGCTCGCGATTCGGGGGGCCCGCGGGGGCCTTCTAGTTCGCGATTCGGGGGGACCCGTGGGGGCCTTCCTAGGTTACGACGTGGGGGACCCGCGGGGGTCTCTCTATAGCGCGCGATTCGACGGTTGGGGAGAGGGGCACTAAGGGGTGACGGGGCACTAAGGGTAATGGGGTACTAACGGGCGAGCGCGGGGTGGTGGGCCCATAGGGATCAAACGGCTCTATACCACGATGCTGAAGGAGCTGAAGGAGCTGCTCGAGGCTGCCTTCGAGCTGCGCGAGATCTCGCCGGTCGTGAAGTACCTCGGGCTGGAGATCGTGCGCGACAGGCCGGCGAGGAAGTTGTGGTTGCACCAGCAGAGCTACGTCAACAAGCTACGTAGACGCTTCATCGACGAGGAGGAGGGCGGTCGACTTCCGAAGACGCCGGTCTCCGTCGACACCTACGCCGAGCTGTCGTTCGATGACGAGAAGGCTCAGGAACGCGAGGAGGAGGAGTACCGGTAGAAGTTCGGCTCGCTGCAGTTCACGGCTTCAACGATGAGGCCGGACATCGCCTTCGCCTGCAGCAAGCTGGGGAGCGGCCTCACGGTGAGGAGCGACCAGCATTGGCGCGAGGTCGACCGCTGCCTCGCCTACCTCGCCGACACCCGTAACACCGCCCTGGATTTCAGCGGTGGAGCAGAGTCGCTGAAGTTGGTCGGCTACGTGGACGCCGACGACGCCGGCGACAAGCAGAACTGGACGACCACGGGCGGCTACGTGTTTGTCTTCGGAGGGGCCGCCGTCTCCTGGTCGAGCCAGCGCATCAAGTGCGGGACGCTGTCGTCGACCGAGTCGGAGTACGTGGCGGCCACCGAGGCCGTCAAGGAAGGACGCCGACTTCGCTTCCTTCTTGAAGAGTTCCAACTGCTGGACGCTGGTACGCCGACGGTCCTTCGTGTGGACAACAAGTCGGCCTTCACCAACCGCATCGCTTGCCGCTCCACCATCGGCAACCAATTCTCCCTGATCGCCGCGGCAGCGTCGCTCTTCTTGGACAAGGGACGAGCCCATGTGAAACGGCTCCATTCGTCCACCATGGTGAGGAAGTAAAGCACCCCCCCAGTCCATTTTGTCCTCATAGGACCCACCAGATCCATGTGTCAACAGGAGTTGGGTGTTGGCCTCGTCCTCGCTTGGGCGGAGCTGACTTTGTGGTCGGGTGTGAGGGAGTTGCAGCCGACCAACTGCAGTGGGCGACGCCGACTTGGGCGCGCAGGTTGACGGGTTTGGTCGACCTGCACGGCGAAGGGGGCGCCGACTTTGGGAGGTCGACTCGGCAAAGTCGACCTAGGGGGGACGCCGACTTAGTGGCGTCGACCTAGGAAAGCCGACTTGGTGCAGTCGGCGACCAGCAGGTCTGGTCGACCAGCAGAGGTCGACCTGGGGAAGTGGCCGACTTTGTGTAGTCGGTGGGAGGTGGTCGTCGACCTGGTCGGTCGACGGGCACGTGGAGAAGCAGTTGGTCGACGTGGTTGCCTGGTCGACCAAGTTACCCGGGCGACGGGGTTCTGCGGAGGTGCGCGATAGTCGCCCATGTGGTTCTGACAAAGCCGACCTCGGAGGTGGTATCCCGAGGTCGAAGTGGATGCTCAGGCGCAGTCAGTGACACGTGGTCGACTTGGCGTCTGCGCTGTGCACGTGACAGGGCACAGCACGCCAACCAACTGCGAGCACCTGCGAAGTAGGTGCACTGCTGTCATGCGGGTGCAACGCTGTGCAGCCGCCTTGCTGCAGCGTTGCCACGCCGTCGACTTGCAACGTTGGCAAGCCGCCTTTCTGTAGTGCTGGAGAGGTGCAGACTTTGCAGTGCTAATACGCGGTCGACCTTGCTGCGCTGGAGGTCGACCTGCCACAGAAAGTACACCTAGACTAACAAATATAAGCTGTAACAAAGCTTGATACACCCCCATATTCTAGGTGCCGGTAGTTCTGTGGAAAGCAACACACAGCAAGGGTCACAGGACCAGTCAGCAAGAACAAGCAATGGTCACAAGACCAGTTCACAAGAGCACAACAAAGCTCGGGGTGGATCTCGAGATCACCACACAGTCCGAGAACAAGCAAGGGGCCACAAGGACAGTCCACCTGCAAGGATATAGCAAATATAAAAGATGCAAGAGTACAAGACAAGCACCTCTACGGAAACAAGGGGCAACAAGGCCAATCCACAAGCAGATATATAGTAAATATAGTGAGATGCAAGTGTACAAGGCAAAGTATCTCTACGCAAGCAAGTGAGGGCCTGTAGACACAAGACCCAGCTGGGTGCAGAAACGCTGGTGGTCACAAGGCGGCAACGCCTTGGTGAAGATATCTGTAGTGTTGGCCTCAGAGACCACACTTCGCACGAGTGTCTGGCCACGCTGCTGCAACTCTCGCAGAAGGAAGTAACGAAGATGGATGTGCTTCGCCTTCCCAATCAGTCGGGGCTCCTCGCACAACACGATAGCAGACCTATTGTCGGCGAACAAGACTGGGGGAGAGCGAGGCCACTCACCAAGGTTGGTGAGGAGGAAAGACAGCCAGCGAAGCTCCTGGGCGGCCATGGCCGCAGCGTACACCTTTGCCTCACAGCTGGAACTAGAGACGGATGACGCCCGAGTCGACCTCCACAAAACAGCTCCGGTCCCAAGGCTGAAGCAGTAACCTTGTGTAGACCGCAGCGACTCCGCGTCGTCGGCTCACGACGAGTCCGAGAAACCTGTTAGTGTAACTGGCTGCTTCCCTCCAAGGACAAGTTCCATGCCTGATGTAATCGCCACATATTTCGCCACCCTCTTAGCAGCGTACCACCAGTGGGAAAGTCGGTGTCTCCCATGCGCAACAAAGCGCGCAAGGACGTTAAGAGGGTAAGCTAGGTCTGAGCGAGTATAGGTCATCAGGTACAAGACCAGGTCGTCAACGTAAACCAAAACAAAGAACGGGGTCGAGCCACGGCGGACGAACATCGACGGGTCAGCAGACGACGGAAAGAAGGCAAGCGCTGCAAGTGTCGTGTGAAGTATGTTGTGCCACTCACGGGGAGCCTCGCGCGGGCCGTAGACCGGTCGACGCAGCTGCCACTGGGTCCCAGGAGGGAAAGAGCCAGTGAGCCAGGCGGGCGACGCAGCCAGATCTTCTCGTGCAGGCTCCCCTGAAGGAACGCTGTGAAGAAGTCCAAGGAGT